GGAGTTTAAGACCAGCCTGGCCATCATGGTGAAACCCATCTTTTTATCTAAAAAATAAAATAAAAAAATAAAAAATAAAAAAAAGAGTTAGATACTTACCATAGTATTTGAAGTCTGGGCTTGTCTGTAGCAGTCCTTCTTGGGAACACTTTCCAATATTTGAAAGGACTTGGATTTTGTGCTCTAAACTGTAACTGCATTATGGAGCACCCCTAGCCCAGTAATGCTGTGGCTCTTGCAGAGTCTTGTTCTCTTCCTTTACTTTCTCCCAAGCAAATAGGGTCTTTCTCTCTTTGCTGAGCCACCTGGGCTTGGGGATGGGATGACATGAATACCCCTGTGGCCACCACCACTGGGACCGTACTAGGTCAGACCTGAAGTTAGCACAGCACTGGATCTCACCCATCGCCTGCCATACCTGGCTGCTGCCTGTGTTTGCTCAAGGTCCTAGTTCTCTGTAATCAGATGGTGAAACCAGCCAGACTTTTGTCCTTCCCTTTAGGGAAGTTTGTTCCCCTAGGTCCTGGGTGGATCCTGAGATGCCATCCAAGAGATAGGGACTAGATTCAGAAAAATTAGAAATCTACCTTGTGTTGTACTGCAGCTAAGCTGGCCCTGAAACCTTGAGACACTGCCCTTCTTCTCTCACTCTTCCCTCCACTTTCTGCAGGCTGAAGAGTGTTTCCCTGTGGCCATCACCAACCACAGGCCCATGGGGAGTACTGCTCGACTGTTGCTGATGTTCACTTAATGCCCAGGGCTCTTCAAACAGCTTATGATGAATGCTGCCTGGCCTGGGACTCACCCTTCAGGGTAGTGGGGTTCCCTCTGGCCCGAGGCAGGTCTAGAAATGCATCTAAGAACCACAGCCTGGAAGTGGAGACCCGAAGAGCCCCCTTGGTGCTCTATCCCACTTGACAGAGCTGGTACCTGAGGTGCAAGACAAAATTTCCTTTACTTTTTCCCTCTGCTTTTCTCAAGCAGGAGGACTCTTTCATCATAGTCACCATAGGTGGGTATGTGCTGGGTCTCAGAGTCTCATCCAAGGCACATGGGTACTACCTGGTATCACCGCTGGTTATTTTGATCCCAAGGGTTCTTTAGTTAGCAGGTGATGAATCCTGCCAGGACTGTGAATCCTGCCAGGACTGGGTTCTTCCCTTCAGAGCTCTAGGTTCCGTTCTGGCCCATGCATGTCTAGAGATGTCATCCAGGAGTGCTAGGGCCTGGAATGGGGTCTTATGACTTTGACACAAGCCTAACTGAGTTGGTATCCAAAATACAAAAGTCAGCTTTACCCTTTCCTTTCCTCAAGTGGAAGAGCGGGGTCTCTTTTGGAGCCTCAAGTTGTGTTGCCTGGGGTTGGGGGAGTAGTGGCACAAGCACTCCCTTAGCTGCCCCAGCAAGAGTCTCAGTAAGTCACATGCCTAGCAAGTCCACAGGCTGCAAGACTAGCTCAACCCTAGGACATGTAGTCCTTGTGGCCTAGACAGTCTTTCAAGTTTATTTAGGGCTCCAAAGCACTTCAGTCCATGGGGGCAAGGCTTGCTGGTACTCAAGTTCCCACTGTTTTTTTGGTTTGTTTTTTTTTTCTTGAATAAACACTCCCTAGATTGCTGTAAGCCTTTGGTTAATTTCTGTAATTCTAAAAATGTGAATTCTGCTCATTTATGCTCATTCTCTTGTTTCTTTTATGGAGGAGAGAATTGTTGGAGGTCCATACTCTGACGTTTTTGCTGATGGCCCTTCACTAACTACTTGAGATAAATCTTAGAGAAATTCAGTTACTTTTCTTTTTATAAACACTTGCCTATTAAATACTCCAAACTATATTACAAGCTTTTCTTTAAAATAGGTGCAAATATTTTGTTGTTAATATTATCTAACATAATTTATATATTTATACTCTCTTTAAATTTCTTCAATACTGTATACTATGTTCAGGCATAGTCAGGAATTAGAATCTTCATCCTGCAGACCGGGCGCGGTGGCTTAAGCCTGTAATCCCAGCTCTTTGGGAGGCTCAGGCGGGTGGATCACGAGGTAAAGAGATCGAGACCATCCTGGTCAACTTGGTGAAACCCATCTCTACTAAAAATACAAAAAATTAGCTGGGCATGATTGCTCGTGCCTGTAATCCCAGCTACTCAGGAGGCTGAGGCAGGAGAATTGCCTGAACCCAGGAGGCAGAGGTTGCGGTGAACCGAGATCGTGCCATTGCACTCCAGCCTGGGTTACAAGAGCGAAACTCCGTCTCAAAAAAAAAAAAAAAAGAATCTTCATCCTGCAGTAATAATTTCTCTTCTCTTGACCAAAATATTTCCAAATTTCATAAAATTATTCTTTATGTTCAAAATATGACTCGTTATTTATTCATTTATTTATTCAAGTAAACAGTAAATTCTATAATCTGAAGTAATGATAAATGCTATGATGAAAAGTAAAACAGATTAAGAGGGATAGAGAGATAGGGTTGCTTTTTTTTTTTTTTTTTGAGACGGAGTTTCGCTCTTGTTACCCAGGCTGGAGTGCAATGGCGCGATCTCGGCTCACCACAACCTCCGCCTCCTGGGTTCAGGCAATTCTCCTGCGTCAGCCTCCTGAGTAGCTAGGATTACAGGCACGCGCCACCATGCCCAGCTAATTTTTTTTGTATTTTTAGTAGAGACGGGGTTTCGCCATGTTGACCAGGTTGGTCTCGATCTCTCAACCTTGTGATCCACCCGCCTCGGCCTCCCAAAGTGCTGGGATTACAGGCTTGAGCCACCGCGCCTGGCAGGGTTGCTTTTTTAAATTGGGTTGACAAGGCCGGGTGTGGTGTGGTGGCTCACGCCTGTAATCCAGGCACTTTGGAGGCTAAGGCGGGTGGATCACCTGAGGTTGGGAATTCAAGACCAGCCTGACCAACATGGTGAAACCCCGTCTTAAAAAATAAAAAATAAATTGGGTTGACAAGAAAGACCTTTCCGAGGAGATGACATTCCAGCACAGACCTTAATAAAGGGTTCAAGAAGGCATGAACTATGCAAAGCTGGCTGAAGAGCTTTCCAGTAGAGGAAACATCAAGTGCAGAGTCCTGAGACTAACTTACTATATTTTATATGTGCATGGTATTTTATGTATTTATATGTTTTAGGTCATAAAATCTTTTAAACATTTTTCTAGAAAGCTATTTTCAAAAAAGTTTTTGAGGGTTTTAACTTTGATTCAGTTTGGTAACTGCTATACCATTTTTTTTTTTTTTTTTTTTTTTTTGAGATGGAATCTCGCTCTGTCGCCCAGGCTGGAGTGCAGTGGTAGGATCTCAGCTCACTGCAAACCCTGCCTCCCAGGTTCAAGTGATTCTCCTGCCTCAACCTCCGAGTACCTGGGACTACAGGCGTGCACCACCACGCCTGGCTAATTTCTGTATTTTTGGTAGAGATGGGGTTTCACTGTGTTAGCCAGGATGGTCTTGATCTCCTGACTTCATGATCTGCCCGCCTCAGCCTCCCAAAGTGCTGAGATTACAGGCATGAGCCACCACGCCATACCTTTTTTTAATGCCAGTATCTATATGTTATTTTGGTTTCTTTTACTCTTTAAGTTAAATATAGACTAATGTCCCTATAAATCTGTTAATGATAAACCTAGCATAAAGTTGTGTTTACTTTTTTTGAAGTAAAGTTATATTTACTTCAAAAAATGCATTTTAATTTTTCTTCAAATTAATATTTATATATGTATGTAAACTATTTGAGTTATGTGAAGTTCCAGTTAGTTTTCTTTTGTGTATGTCTCAACAAATGTTTAGTGTTGATGCATGTCAGCTCACATTTTCTTTTCCTTCCCTTCCTCTCTTCCTTACCTCCATTACCTTCCTTTCCTCCCCTTCTCTTTTCCTCTCTCTGTTTTCCTTCTCTCACCCTTCCTTCTTCCCTTTGTCCTTCCTTCCCATCTCTGATCTCACTCCCTCCCTCCCATGCCCTCCTCACTATTCCCCTTCCCCTGCTTCTTTCCTTACCCTCTCTTTCCTTTTTAATATTTCCTTCCTTCCTTCTTTCCTTCCTTCCTTCCTATTTTCCTCTTCTCTCCTTACACACCGTTTTTTTTTTTTTTTCTTTTTCAGAGTGGTTTAATGAACAGTCTAGTGATAGAAAGTGGTAAAAACAAGTTATAGTAGATCCATACAATCCGGTATAGCCAATAGAATAGAATATTATGCAGTAATTACAAACTATACTTTTTGTGCTTCTTCAGAGCTACTTCATGCTCCTCGTATTCTTCAACGTCATATTCTATCATTTGCTAAATCCTATGGAAATAATCACTCACATTCATCCCTTCCTATCTTCTTTATCTTCACATCCTCTTTTTCAGATTCATTCTTTTCATTTCTCCTCCCATCCCCTAATTTCTCCTTAAACAGAACTGTTAAAATAGCTGCCTGAATTGGTCTTGTACTATTCTGTTTTCTAGCCAATAGGCTATTGTCATATTTTAATCATTCTAAAGCACAGTTCTCATCAGATTACTACCTGCTCAAAACCTTTCTGTGATTTGTTGCACATTGCCTACCAACTTAAAATACCATAGTCTTCAGTACCTTGCCCGTTATGATCTAACCTGCTTCCTTAGTTCCCTTAAGCTCCATTTTACTCCTTAACTTCCAGTGGAACTTGTCTATTTAGAGTTTCATAAACACATTCCTTGCTTTCTGCTTCCATGTCTTTTTTTTTTTTCACTATTTCCTTTGCCTGGAATACTTAACTTCTTAGGCTGCCCTTTAGAAACCTACCATCCCTCAAGGCCCAGTTCAGATGCCACCTTTCTATTTTCTCTATTATTATCTAAGTGTCTCTTCTCCCTCTTACCTATATTATAAATTCCCTAAGTTCAGAGACTGTGTCTTGGAATTCTTTGAATTTTTAACATAGTGCCTTGCTATCATAAATGTTTGGTAGTTTTAATTGTGCGGCAAGCTCTTCCATTTATGAAAATTTCTGTTTTCTTGTCTCTAGTTAAAGAAGAGTGTAAGAGTCCTGAAGCTGAGTGTCGGTCCCAGAAAATGTCCAATAAGCAAGTAAGCTTCCTTAAAATCAAATTTCTAGTTACCAACTTTTTAATGCAATTGGTTGCTCTGTAGCATCAGACTGAATTTCTCAACCTTATCAACCAAATGTATATGGTGTATGGCCAGAGGGTCACTGAATTTCAGCTGACAGTCACTTGGATGGGAGGTTGTACACCTAAAGTCCCTAGAAGCACCTGAAATCCTGATTCTGCCATTTAATAGTTGAATGGCCTTAGGCAATTCACTTTTTCTCTCATAGCCTCAATTTTCTCTTCTTTAAATGGAGATAAAAATGTTAATCACCTGGCTGGGCGTGGTGGCTCATGCCTCTAATCCCAGCACTTTGGGAGGCGGAGGTAGGGATCACTTGAGGTCAGGAGCACAAGACTATCCTGGCCAACATGGTGAAACCCCCTCTCTACTAAAAATACAGAAAAAATCAGCCAGGCATGGTGGCGCATGCCTGTAGTCCCAGCTGCTTGGGAGGCTGAGGGAGGAGAATCACTTGAACCTGGGAAGCGAATGTTGCAGTGAGCCAAGATTGTGGCACTGCACTCCAACATGGGCAACAGAGTGAGAATCTGTCTAAAAAAAAAAATGACAGTAGTAATAATCACTTGTAGTTGCTCTCAATATATATGGTCATATATATATATAAATATATATATACACACAAATAGACATATATGGAAGTATATATTTATGTATACAATTGAAGTATATGGAACAAAATAGCAAACTTAAGAGGCTAAATTCTGTGGAATTAGATTGGTGTTGGGGAAGCCGAGATTATTTATGTTTTACTTTATATAGTCTCTGCTGTTTACAAGGATTATGTATATATTTTATAATCAAAGAATAACAAATTTTTGATCTAAAAAATTTGACAAGTATATAAGATGTATACTTTATGCCTGTCATATTTTAATATACATTTTTAAAAAAATTGATCTCTTATAGTAATATTAAATTTATAAAAGATGTCTTAGTTGAATATTTGTCACATAACAGGTTCTCAGTAAATGGAATCCATTAATATTTAGATACCAAATGTTATAATTACTTGACTTTTAAGGCCCTCTTCTTTTGAAACTCTTAATTTCCCCTATTCTAGAAAAGGGATTGATAAACTTTTTGTGCAATAGACGTCTTCGGTGAAGCCCATAAACTTTTGGTGAAGCCATTATTCTCAGAATAGTATTCTTTTTTTTTTTTTTTTTTAGACGGAGTTTTGCTCTTATTACACAGGCTGGAGTGTTATGGTGCAATCTTGGCTTACCGCAACCTCCGCCTCCTGGGTTCAAGCAATTCTCCTGCCTCAGCCTCCCGAGTAGCTGGGATTACAGGCACGTGCCACCATGCCCAGCTAATTTTTGTATTTTTAGTAGAGACGGGGTTTCACCTTGTTGACCAGAATGGTCTCGATCTCTTGACCTCGTGATCCACCCGCCTTGGCCTCCCAAAGTGCTGGGATTACAGGCGTGAGCCACCGCGCCTGGCCCCAGAATAGTATTCTTAATGCTAAAATAAAATATGTACGATTTTAAAGGAAACCAGTTATACTGATACACAATTAGAATCACCACTGTTGTGGTTTTCTTAGTTGATTTGAGCTGTATAATAAAGATACCATAGACTAGGTACATTGAGCGATAAACATTTATTTCTTACATCTCTGAAGTCTGGAAAGTCCAAGATTAAGGCACTAGCAGAATAATGTCTTTAAAGCTAAAAAGATTTAAAAGAAAACCGGTTATGTTGAAATACAGTTAGAATCTGGTAAAGTGCCTTTGTCTGGTGGGGGTTCCCTTTCTGGCTTGCAGCTGATGCATCTTCTCATATTCTAACACGATGGCGAGAAAGAACTCTATTCTCTTCCTCTTCATGTAAGGACACTAATACCATCATGGGTGTTGCACCCTGAAGACCTCATCTAAACTTAATAACCTCCCAAAAGCCCTACCTCCTAATATGATCCCATTAGAAGTTAGGGCTTTTAACAGGAATTTGGGGGAAATATAAACACACAGATCATATAAGTAGTTTGTTGCCTATATTCATAATTGTAGGAAATGCTAAATCTCATTTAGAGGTTAATGAAGATAAAGATGTAATTTTTCTCCATCCAAGCTTATAGGCCCCCTTTTCTTACGACATAAAAGGCAAAATAGCACATAAAATGTTTTGCGGCAATTTATTTAGAACACTATTATGTAGTAACTACAAATATATTTACACAAAAAGCCTATTCTTACTTTTTTATAGACTTTTGAAGGGCCTGCCAAATGTAATATTAAGCTATTGAAGAGAAATGAAAGTCCAGAAGTCTCAGAAACCCAAAAGGTTGTGACTGGTTATCCAAATGCTATTGATAAGGTAAAAGACTATTTATTCAATAGATTCTCTTCCCAAACTTTAACACCTGGGAAGATGATTGGGCAAAAATAGAATGACCATTTTTGTATATAAAACTCAGCTTTTTGTGTGTTCTTGTATTATATTTTCATCTTCATGCCCAAAATATTTATTATTTTAGCCTAACTCTGGAATTGAGAACTTTTTAGCATCTTTGAATATCTCCAAAGAAAATGAAGTACAGTCATCTCATCATGGGGGACCTCCAAGTGAAGAGCATTTGTCACCACAGTCATTTGCTATGGTTTGTATTTTGTAGGAACTTTCTTACTATGGTAATTTCTCAACTGTTGACCATGCAAATATATACCATACAAGTGTTCAAACACTTTTCCCTCATGGAGGTTAGTATATTACATCATTATTGTCATCTTGTGAGGAAAACCAGGCTGCTCTGGGCAATTTAGCCATACTTTTTCTCTTTAGACCATAGTTCCCCCACTTTTCAAACATTGCTGCTAGGCAACTGGGATAAAAGTTAAGCAGAAGTATTGTTTCTAGCGCCGGGCGCGGTGGCTCAAGCCTGTAATCCCAGCACTTTGGGAGGCCGAGGCGGGTGGATCACGAGGTCGAGAGATCGAGACCATCCTGGTCAACATGGTGAAACCCCGTCTCTACTAAAAGTGCAAAAAATTAGCTGGGCATGGTGGCACGTGCCTGTAATCCCAGCTGCTCAGGAGGCTGAGGCAGGAGAATTGCCTGAGCCCAGGAGGCGGAGGTTGCGGTGAGCCGAGATCGCGCCATTGCACTCCAGCCCGGGTAAAAAGGGTGAAACTCCGTCTCAAAAAAAAAAGAAGTATTGTTTCTATATCAGAAATGTGGGTGGGTTTTTTTTTTTTTCTTTTTTCAATTTCTATCTGAATGTAGTTAGTATCTTTTTTTTTTTTTTTTTTTTTTTGAGACAGAGTTTCGCTCTTGTTACCCAGGCTGGAGTGCAATGGCACAATCTCGGCTCACTGCAACCTCTGCCTCCTGGGTTCAAGCAATTCTCCTGCCTCAGCCTCCTGAGTAGCTGGGATTACAGGCATGCACCACAATGCCCAGCTAATTTTTTGTATTTTTAGTAGAGACGGGGTTTCACCATGTTGACCAGGATGGTCTCGATCTCTTGACCTCGTGATCCACCCGCCTCGGCCTCCCAAAGTGCTGGGATTACAGGCTTGAGCCACCGTGCCCGGCTTGTAGTTAGTATCTTAATTTTTAACAATGGAATTCTTACCAAGAAAGATTAATAAGTCCTATAGATCTAATGTTGACTTTCTTCTCTTCACCCTCACTATCTCCATGTGAATCATTTTCAAAAAGAAGGGAACACGGATGCTTAAAGAAATTCTAAAAATTGATGGCTCTAACACTGTGGACCATAAGAATGAAATGAAACAGATTGGTCATGAAATCCCTGTTTCCTCTAATAGAAGAGATGAATATGGATTACCCTCTCAGCCTAAACAAAATAAGAAGTTAGGTAAGTAAACTAAGTACTGTTACCAATAATATCATTTTTAAAATTCAATTCATTTGGTTCTTTTTATCATGTGCTTTTAAAGATAAACAAACTACTTTTTTTTTTTTAAATTTTAGAGATGATGTCTCATCATGTTGGCCAGGCTGGTCTCAAACTTCTGGCCTCAAGCGATCCTCTCACTTCAGCTTCCCAAAATGCTGGGATTATAGGCATATGCCACCACATCTGGCCTAAAACTACTTTTTTCTCAAAACTGTAATTTTTATACTTGTTTCAGTTATATAATAATATAACTGGCCAGATATGGCTTATGCCTGTAATCCCAGACCTTTGGGAAGCTAAAGCACTTTCTGCCTCTATAAAAAATACAAAAGTTAGCTGGGCCTGGTGGCATGCACCTGTAGTCCCAGCTACTGGGGAGGCTGAGGTGGGAGGATTGCCTGAGCCCAGGAAACAGAGGTTGCAGTGAGCAAAGATCATGCCACTGCACTCCAACCTCAGCAATAGAGACGGACCCTGTCTCAAAACAACAACAACAATAATAATATAACCATGTAACCAGTAGATTTATAGTCACTAAATGTCTTCTTGTGATTATTTAATTGTAGTGTTACAGATATTCATTCTGTGGACATCCTAACCTTAAAAAATTTGCACGTCCTAGCTTTTTTTCTCAGTAATTTAAAAATGATCATGTATCTGCCTAAGAACGCTGCTGGAAAAAAAAAATGATCATGTAACTTACGTACATTATTTAACTTTTCTGAAATCTTGTTTCTTATGTATAAAATGAGAATAATACATTGCAAATGACTTGTGATAATTATATAACATGTATAAATATAAAGGAATTAGCACTATTTCCAGAACATTGTAGGTACCAGTAATTGATACAATGTTAAAATAAGTTGACCATTGTAAAAACAGAAAAATCTACAAAATCAATTAAAAATCATTAATGGAGTTAGATATAGGAAAGTGGGTCACAATCTTAAGTCTGTAAAGCCTATAACATAACATCTGGTACATAACTGGATTTCAGTAAATATCCACCATATTTGTTCCTACCCTGAATGTCCTCTATACTGCAGCATTTTGTCTGTGTAATGATCTGCTAAAGGCAACCAGGAAGAATGACCGATACAAAAGTGGGTATGGGCAGAAGTTTCTCAGAGAAGTAAAAAACATTTTTGAAATAAGCAGTTCTAAATATATCAAGGATCAAAATTTGGAATTGGCTGGGTGCAGTGACTCACATCTGTAATCCCAGCACTTTGGGAGGCCAAGGCAGGTGAATCACCTGAGGTCAGGAGTTTGAGACCAGCCTGGCCAACATAGTGAAAACCCAGCTCTACTAAAAATACAAAAAAGTAGCTGGGCATGGTAGCAGGTACCTGTAATCCCAGCTACTTGGGAGGCTGAATCAGAAGAATCACTTGAACCCAAGAGGTGGAGATTGCAGTGAGCCAAGATCGTGCCATCACACTCCAGCCTGAGCAACAAGAGCGAAATTCTGTCTTAAAAAATAATAATAATAATTTTAAAACCTGGAATAAAAGCAGAACCTAGCCCCATTTTTATTCTAGTGAATAGTGGAATAATTAATTAAAAATTCTAAAATGTATTAGGAAACTGATTATTTATTATAGTGACAGACATGTTCCTGAAATGGAACCAAATAACTTTTAAGACAAAATTAGATAAAGATGATCCCATTGTCAAAACCAAGTAAGTTTTTTATTTCAGTATAGTTAAAAAAAAAAAAAAAAAAAAGCTTCATAGACCTTAGAGTCTTAGAGTCACTAGCTCAGAATCCAGCCCCTGTTATAGAACTAACTGGCTCTGAGACTTTGATCAAGCCAGTTAACTGCTTTTTTAATCTATATTAGTGAAAAGACTGCTTTTTAAATCTGTATGAGTAAAAGTTTGGATTAATTCTTCAATGAGATATGCTTTTGTTCTGTTTGTTAATCGTAAGGAAAGTGAACACTCAATTTTAAAATTGTCTTTCATATAAAAACAGAAGACAATTTCAAAAAAATTTTAAGAAATATGATTTCAGAGCAACAAAAATATTCATGTGTCTCAGAATGTAAAGTGGAATTGCAAGAATTGAGATTGAAGCCAAAACTTCAAAACTTAAGGATTAATTGTACTTCCGCTCAAGAAAGACATTTGTTTATTCATTCTTTTGTTGTTTTATTTTTCTCTTCTTCTGCAAAACAAGAAAGCCATTTGTTTGTTCAAATTTTACCTGTAACAGTACCATGTAGTCATTAGCTGCTCAAGGTTTTGACAGTTAGGTACTTACCGTATGTTTAAATCTTTATCTTAATAATTTATTATTAATCAGTTATACTCATCCAGAAATCTTTACTGCAGTCGCAGTAATTTTAGGAACTACTAAATAGTTCTTTATATGTGCTTCATGGAAGACTCATCTTTTTTTTTTTTTTTTTTTTTTTTTTTGAGACGGAGTTTCGCTCTTGTTACCCAGGCTGGAGTGCAATGGCGTGATCTCGGCTCACCGCAACCTCCGCCTCCTGGGCTCAGGCAATTCTCCTGCCTCAGCCTCCTGAGTAGCTGGGATTACAGGCACGTGCCACCATGCCCAGCTAATTTTTTGTATCTTTAGTAGAGACGGGGTTTCACCATGTTGACCAGGATGGTCTCGATCTCTCGACCTCGTGATCCACCCGCCTCAGCCTCCCAAAGTGCTGGGATTACAGGCTTGAGCCACCGCGCCCAGCTGACTCATCTTTTTAATGCAGTTGGCTCTATAGCAGCTAACTGAATTTCTCAACCTTTTCAACCAAATTTATAAGGTACGTGGCCAGAGGGTCACTGAAGGTAAGCTGACAGTCACTTGAATGGGAGGTTTTACTGCTAAGGTCCAGGATTGGAACTAGAGGCACCTGAAATCCTGATTCTGTTATTACACTTTTTAGCAGTTTCCTGCCTGCTCTTATATAAAACCCTACAATAAGTGCATAATTTGAGATAGTATTTTATTAATACAGATAGACTCTTTTCTCTTTTTTGGTAGCCTCTTATGTGAACAAGCCTCAGAGTGCTAATGAGTACCATAACGTTCAGTCGATGGACAATGTGTGTTGGCCCACCCCCAGCCAGATCCCTCCTGTATCCACACCAGTAACTGAACTTTCTCGAATTTGTTCCCTTATTGGAATGCCACAACCTGATTTCACCTTTCTTCGGACGCCACAGGTATAGTATGCTACGGTTCCATTTATATAAATTCTTTAACATTAAGCTTTAATAAATTGGTTGAAAATCTTTAAGAAAAAATATAATGGGACTTATTTTTCTTAACTTTGTGAGCAGTATAGATTTATGCTTCTTACTCTAGCTCTAATATTTATATGTAACCGAAACCCTAAGAGAGGCTGACAGGGAAGAACTGGGCATCAGGTATCCTGCCAAGATTCTTCAGACTAATAGAGCCAGAGATCTTGGTCTACAGTAGCAGTTTTCAAACTTTTTGGTGTCAAAAACTCCACACTTTTTTTGGAGGATCCCAAAGAACTTTTGTTTACTTATATCCATATTTACTGTGTTTGAAATTAAAACAAAAAAAATTGGCCGCAATCAACTTGATCTTCAACAAAGTCAACAAAAAATACACTTGGGAAAGAACACCCTATTCAATAAATGGTGCTGGGAAAAGTGGATGGCCATATGCCTGAGAATGAAACTGGAATCATACCTCTCACCACATAAAAAAATTAACTCATGATGGATTAAAGTCTTAAATGTGAAACCTGCAACGATAAAAATCCTAGAAGAAAACCTAGGAGAAACTCTCTGGACATCAGCCTAGACAAAGATTTATGACTAAGATCTCAAAAGCAAATGCAACAAAAACAAAAATAGACAAATAGGACTTAATTAAACTAAAAAGCTTCTGCACAGCAAAAGAAATAATCAACAGACAGTCCACAATATTTGCAAACTATGGATCTGACAAAGGACTAATAATATCCAGAATCTACAAGAGACTCAACAAGTAAAAAGCAAATGACCGCATTAAAAATAGGCAAAGGTTGTAAGTGGACATTTCTCAAAAGAGGACATCTCAAGGGTTTGCCAACAAACATGAAAAAATTGTTCAACATTACCAGAGAAGTGCAGATTTTAGGGCCACAATGAGATGCCATCTCATACTGGACAGAATGGCTATGATTAAAAAATCAAAAAACAAATTTTGGCAAGGATGTGACAAAAAGGGAGTGTTTATACACTGTTGGTTGGAATGTAAATTAGTACAACCTGTATGTAAATAGTCTGAGGATTTCTCAAAGAGCTAAAAATAGAACTATGATTTAATCCAGCAATCTCACTTCTGGATATCTAACCCAGGAAAAGAAATCATTACATAAGAAGTATGCCTGCACTTGTATATTTATCACAGCACAATTTTTTTTTTTTTTTTTTTTTTTTGAGACGGAGTTTCGCTCTTGTTGCCCAGGCTGGAGTGCAATGGCGCGATCTCGGCTCACCGCAACCTCCGCCTCCTGGGTTCAGGCAATTCTCCTGCCTCAGCCTCCTGAGTAGCTGGGATTACAGGCACGCGCCACCATGCCCAGCTAATGTTTTGTATTTTTAGTAGAGACGGGGTTTCACCATGTTGTCCAGGACGGTCTTGATCTCTTGACCTTGTGATCCACCCGCCTCGGCCTCCCAAAGTGCTGGGATTACAGGCTTGAGCCACCATGCCCGGCTTCACAGCACTATTCTTAGTAGCAAAGATAATGGAATCAACCTAAATGTCCATCAGTGGATGATTGGATAAAGAAATTGTGGGGTGTGTATGTGTGTGTATACATATACTTATGTAATACTGTTCAACCATCAAAAGAATGAAGTCGCCGGGCTCGGTGGCTCAAGCCTGTAATCCCAGCACTTTGGGAGGCCGAGGCGGGTGGATCAGGAGGTCGAGAGATCGAGACCATCTTGGTCAACATAGTGAAACCCCGTCTCTACTAAAAATACAAAAAACTAGCTGGGCGTGGTGGCGCGTGCCTGTAATCCCAGCTACTTAGGAGGCTGAGGCAGGAGAATTGCCTGAGCCCAGGAGGCAGAGGTTGCGGTGAGCCGAGATCGCGCCATTGCACTCCAGCCTGGGTAACGAGAGCGAAACTCCATCTCAAAAAAAAAAAAAAAAAAAAAAGAATGAAGTCATGTATCTTGCAGCAACATGAATGGAACTGAAGACCATTATCCTAAGTGAAATAATTAAGAAACAGGCTGGGTGCAGTGGCTCAAGCCTGTAATTCCAGCACTTTGGGAGGCCGAGGTGGGTGGATCACGAGGTCAAGAGATCAAGACCATCCTGGTCAACATGGTGAAACCCGTCTCTACTAAAAACACAAAAAATTAGCTGGGCATGGTGGCGCGTGCTTGTAATCTCAGCTACTCAGGAGGCTGAGGCAGGAGAATTGCCTCAACCCAGGAGGCGGAGGTTGCGGTGAGCCGAGATCGCGCCATTGCACTCCAGCCTGGGTAACAAGAGCGAAACTCCGTCTCAAAAAAAAAAAAAAGAAACAGAGAGTCAGATACCACATGTTCTCATTTATAAATGGGAGCTAAAATTGGACATACAGAGTGGGATGAAAGTCATTAGAGATTCCAAAAGATGGGATGGTGAGAGGGATATGAGGGATGAGAAGTGACCTGTTGGGAGGCTGGGCACGGTGGGTCACACCTGTAATCCCAGCACTTTGGGAGGCCGAGGCAGGCAGATCACAAGGTCAAGAGATTGAGACCATCCTGGCCAACGTGGTGAATCCCTGTCTCTACTAAAAATGCAAAAGTTATCTGGGCATGGTGGCACACGCCTGTAGTCCCAGCTGCTTGGGAGGCTGAGGCAGGAGCATTGCTTGAACCCGGGAGGCGGAGGTTGCAGTCAGCCGAGATTGCGCCACTGCACTGCAACCTGGCGCCTGGTGACAGAGCAAGCCTCTGTCTCAAAAAAAAAGGAAAAAAAAAAGGTAGAGAAATGACCTGTTGGGTACAATGTATACTATTGGCAATGGGTAGACTGCCACACTTCACCAGTATGTAGTATATCCATGTAACTAACATTTGTATCCCCTAAATCTATTTAAAAACAAAAATTAAGGTAAACCAAAACAAAACAAGCTTTTTTATAAAAGAGAAAGAGTATAATATAGTTATAATTTAAATATGAGTAGAAAACACATCAGAATTTCTGAATCTTTTATATTTTGGCAATTAACGCATATTACCAAAATACTTCTTTAAGTAAAAAAATGGTATAAACGTGAGTCAGCAAATTTTTTCTGTGAAGAGTCAGATAGTAAACATTTTAGGCCTTGTGGGCCAGATGGTCTCTATCACAACTTCCGAACTCTGCAGTTAGTGGGAAAGCAATCATTAGAATAGATGTGGCTATGTTCCAGTAAAACTGTATTTACAAAAAGAGGCAGAACTCCATAGTTTGTCAACCCCTTTTATAAAGAAAAAAATTTTGCTGACTTTCATTTGCATTCAGTTGCCTGACCCGTCAGCCAGCTTTAGAAAGCTTTTTGTTTTGTAAGCACTGAAAGATAAGGCAACAACTCTAAAATTTTTGCCTGGCGGTTCAAAATTTAAACTGAAAGCCCTTTTTAAAATTCTTGTTAAAAGTATTTTACTTGTTTAGACTAAAACTCTGGAGGAGGTCAACTTCCTAGACAGGGAATTTTATAGACATATATATTCTCTCTTTTTAGACAATGACCATTTGCCAAGTAAAATTATCTAATGGCTTACTGGTACATGGGCCACAGTGCCACTCTGAAAATGAAGCCAAGGAGAAAGCTGCACTTTTTGCTTTACAACAGTTGGTAAGAAATGTCCATGACTTCTCTGTTAAATTTTTTATTAGTCTCTATAGAAAGTTTGCATTGTGTTGTCTTATAACTTTTAAATACTTCTCCAGGGCTCCTTAGGTATGAATTTCCCTTTGCCTTCACCTGTATTTGCAAATTATCCTTCTGCTGTACCACCCGGAGCCATTCCTCCAGTTTTTCCCCAAGCTACTGGTAAGATGTTTTTCATTTATAAGTATTTGTCATTGAGTTGTTACTTTTACTAAGCTCTTTTAAAAAACAGCATCACTTTTAAAAAATCAAAAAATATACTTAAATATCTAGGAATGTAAGAAGAAACTGTGAGAAAGCCTAAAACCAGAGCCTGCAAATTCCTCTAGAAATACCGTTCTCTTCCTCCAGCCTCTGGTATGGCTAGAGTAGTAAGAGGAGGTTCTTTGAGCGGGCAGGCCCTTATTCTCCAATAGCTGCTAACAGATGAATTTGGGTTTATGTTACACACCAAAAGGCAAAAAAAAAAAAAAATCATGTAATGTATTCAGGACTGAATTTTCTTATTTGCAGTAGTCTATATCCAAATTCTTGTTGAGACTAACATTTTATAATTCTAAATCTTAAGTTCAGAGATTTTCTAAATCACTCAGCCTTTTTTCTAATAGCAGTTGGCTTCCTCATATCTTTATTATTGTTTTAAAGCCAATAATTTATTTAAGTTTAGAAAATCACTTTTCTGCATCTACTGCCAGGTAATACTCCAGGAATTCTAAATATCTAATCCTTACAATAAGCATTGGAAAGGTTAATAATACTGATTAAATTTACCACATGCACTTACCTCTTCTCATTAAACTGAATAATAAAAGATTTTAAAAGTGTAAATATACAAGGACAAAGAGATAGGAGCAATATCAGCAGATTAGAGGTTTGAAAAGAGTTTGTGCTGAGAATTACAACTGAAGAAGTAACTATTTTAGCAGAGCAAAGTTAAAAGCTACAAGCTGGCCAGGTGTGGTGGCTCACGCCTGTAATCCCAGCACTTTGGGAGGCCGAGGTGGGTGGATCACGAGGTCAAGAGATCGAGACCATCCTGGTCAACACGGTAAAACCCCGTCTCTACTAAAAATACAAAAAAATTAGCTGGGCACGGTGGCGCGTGCCTGTAGTTCCAACTACTTGGGAGGCTAACACAGGAGAATTGCCTGAACCCAGGAGGCGGAGGTTGTGGTGAGCTGAGATTGCGCCATTGCACTCCAGCCTGTGTAACAAGAGCGAAACTCCGTCTCAAAAAAAAAAAAGCTACAAGCTAAAGTGCCTGTAGAAGAGATTACAAATGAGCATGATAAGCAGATTGGTTCAGAACTTGGAGGCATCAGAAACTAATGATGAGGCATGTGCTGAAAAGAGAGGGATTGGTTGAAAGTCTGTGTGTGAAGTAGTGGGACTACCCCCTTTACCCCTCCATGACACAGCCAGACTTGGGGTGTGTTCTGTAGGGGAGCTCTCTAGGTATGGGAATATCAAGCAGAGTAGAGAATGAAATGTGAGACTGAAAATACAGAGATTAAATAAAAGTTCCCTTTTCCTCATCCTGTTCTCAGATTGTAGCCAGCCATACCCTTCTCCCCAGATAGGAAATTGGAGAATGTTTCCTTTTTCTTTTCTTTTTTTTTTTTTTAAGACGGGGTTTCACCATGTTGTTCAGGCTGGTCTGATCACCCAACCTCAGGTTATCGACCCGCCTTGGCCTCCAGAGTACTTGGATTACAGACGTGAGCCACCACGCCCGGCTGGATGTTTCTTTTATAAGATAAATTTATCAAAAATGTATTGACCTCCAAGGAAAAGACCTACCAAGTTTTAGAGAGTGTCCCGACCAAAAGCCTGGCTCACTAACCAGTCATCCTAGAGTAAAGCCCCTCAAATCATCTAGTGGCCTAGCCCTTCTCCTTCCCCACATAGACACTGCTTCTCATCACAGCCGTAATGTCTCCCTCTTTAATATGTATATATACTAGACCGTGAAAAGGAAAATCTGTAAAATGAAAGTTAAAATAAGAAATGAAAAGGACCTGGAAACAGAGATAATGTAGGAAATAAGAAAACTGCAAAGACAGCTATAATTAATATCTTTAGTGAAATAAAATAGTATTGCAACCAAAAAATAAGAACAAGATTCAATGAAAAAAAAATAATTAGAGAACAAGTAAGATTTTAAAATTTAGTAGATAAAGTCCTAGTAAAGCCAAAGAAGATAAAAGCTGTAAAAAAAGAACACAGATTTAGGGCACAGATCTAGCTCCCACCTTATTGGAGTTCCAGAAAAAGAGATCCATGATTAAGGAAAGGAGATTAAGGGTCAAAAAGAAAAAAAGAAAGTTTTCTAAAACAAAATTGTGCATCTCTAAACTAAAGAGCCACAAAATGTTAAGCACAGTGAATAAAGACACAGCTTATCTTCAGATTCTGAATACTAATGATAAAAAGATGGTCCTAAGACATTCAGAGAAGAGAGGAAATATAGTACATATAGAAGATCAAGAATTAGAATGGTACTCCACTATTGAACAGTGCCTAGAAGCCAGAAAGCATTGAATACCTCAAAACCCTGAGGCAGAATGAGTTTCATCCTAATACAGAGAAATCATTCTGCCTCAGGGTTTTTTGAGGTATTCTCTGCCAAACTGTGAATCTAGTACAAAGGAGAAATAAAGATATTTTCAGATATGCAAATTTCTTTTTTTTTTTAAATTTTTTTGCACACAGAAAATAATTCAATTCCAATGTTGCAAATTTATTTCTTATGCACCTTTTTTTTTTCCTTTGACGTGACAACGTCTCACTATGTTGTCCAAGCTAAAGTCCTGGGCTCAAGCAATCCTCCCACTTCAGCCTTCGAAAATGCCAGGATTACAAGCATGAGCCATCATGCCTTGCTTACCCTTTCTTAAGAACCTACTGAATTATATACTCCAACAAAACAGAGCAGTAGTTTGAAAAAGAAAATTGTGAAACCAAAATAACAAATTATAGATCTAGTGTAGTTATACAATGAATGGAAATCTCAGGATACCAGCTGCTTAGTGGGTCTAGAAAGTGATTAGTCCCAACTAGAGAGGCAGAGGGGAGTCTTGGCAGTAAGGAAGGTTATTAATAGATGAGCAAAAGGAAAACATTAAGGATAGGTACAGAGAAGACTAAACAAGTTTTTTTTTTTTTTTTTTTTTTGAGACAGAGTCTCACTCCGTAACCAGGCACCAGGCTGGAGTGCAGTGGCATTTTTATTATATTTTTCCTAAAGAATTGATAAGAGCAGGACTAAGCTTTTAAAAAATAATTATTAGAGTGGGCAACATGGTGAAACAGCCTAGGCAGCATGGTAAAACCGCATCTCTACAAAAATACAAAAGTAGCCAGGCATGGTGGCATGCAACTGTAGTCCCAGCTACTTGGGAGGTTGAGACAGGAGGATCACTTGAGCCTGGGAGGTCAAGGCTGCAGTGTGCTGTGATTGTGCCACTGCACCCCATCCTGGGTGACAGAATGAGACCGGTCTCTAAAAAAAAAAGATAATTAATTACTAACTCAAGTAAAAACAAAAGCTTTTACAAGAAAAGAAACATTGGCTGGGCACAGTGGCTCACACCTGTAATGCCAGCAGTTTGGGAGGCTGAGGCGGGCAGATCACGAGGTCAGGAGTTTGAGACCAGCCTGGCCAACATGGTGAAACCCCTTGCCTACTAAAAATGCAAAAAAATTAGCCAGGCATGGTGGTGCACACCTGTAATCCCAGCTACTTGGAAGGCTGAGGCAGGAAAATTGCTTGAACGGGGAAGGTGGAAGTTGCAGTGAGCCGAGATAACACCACTGCACTCCAGCCTGAGCAACAGAGCGAGACTCCGTCTCAAAGAAAAAAAAAAAAAACATAATCAGATTACCCAGATTGGCTCTACACTGATAATATTTACATAGCCACATATCACAAATAGATAACACTGCTTGTATATTTAAACAAATGATGTAATATACTTACATTGGGGATACAGGATAAATAGTGAGGGGTAATGCAAAAAAACTGAATTTTGATATATTTAAATAGGAAGTCAGTAGATCTAAAAATGCCTAAAGTTAATAAATTTTTGACAAGTAGCATAAGCAAATTATTGAACAGTGTGGAAATAAATATCTAAAACAGTTAAACCTGGAGTAGAACAGATGTCTGCTGTTTTCTGTTGAAATATTTTTTAGGCCAGGTGTGGTGGCTCACACCTGTAATCCCAGCCCTTTGGGAGGCCAAAGCAGGCGGATCACTTAAGGTCAGGAGTTTGAGACCAGCCTGACCAACACGGCAAAACCCTATCTCTGTTGTTAAAAATACGAAAATTCGAAAATTAGCTGGGTGGGTGTGGTGGCACATACCTGTAGTCCCAACTACTCAGGAGGCTGAGGCAGGAGAATTGCTTGAATCCAGGAGGCGGAGGTTGCAGTGAGCCGCAATCGCCTCACTATACTCCAGCCTGGGTGACAGAGCTAGACTCTGTCTCAAAAAAAAAGAAAATCTTTTTCAGAACAATGTATGCGTAGTATTTTCACTTTTTTTAAATGTAATTTCACATTCTGGTATTCAAAATCCAAGTCTGAGCCACGTGTTATGGCTAACGTTTGTAATCCCAGCACTTTGGAAGGCCTGTCTCAAGAAAAGCCGCAAAAACCCAAACCAAAACAAAACAAAACATTGTTTATACAGTCAAAGTAATCCAGTGCAGTACAGTAACAAAAGCATGGGCTTTGAAAACAGAGAGCTGGGTGTTGTGGCTCATGCCTGTATTCCTAGCACTTTGAGAGGCTTAGATGGGAGGATCACTAGAGCCATGAGTTCGACTCTATATATTTTGTCAGTACAAAAAAGAGAAAAAATTAACTAAGCATGGTGGCAGGTACCTGTAGTTCCAGCTACTCGGAAGACTGAGGCAGGAAGATCAGTTGAGCCTGTGAGGCAGAGGCCGCAGTGAGCCAAGATTGTGCCACTGCACTCCATCCTAGGTGATGGAGTAAGACCCTGTCTCAAAAAAGAAAAAAAAAAAAAAAAAAAAAAGGACAACACCACAACAGACTTAGATTTTTTTTTTTTTTTTTTTTTGAGAGGGAGTCTCACTGTGTCACCCAGGCTGGAGTGCAGTGGCATGACCAGGGCTTACTACAGCCTCAACCTCCTTGGGCTCAGTTGATCTTCCTGCCTCTGCCTCCCAAGTGGCTGGGACTACAGCACATGCCATCACATCTGGCTAATTTTTGTATCTTTTTGTAGAGACAGGGTTTTCACCATGTTGATCTGGCTGGTTCCAAACTCCTGGGCTCAAGTGATCTGCTGGCATTGGCCTCCCAAAGGGCCGGGATTATAGGCATGAGCCACTGGGCCCGGCCAATGATGTTTTAGTCATAAAGTTTTCATGACATAATGAATCTGATGCTTTTATATAGCTCAGTGTAGTAGTATCACCATAACTTGTAAAGTCTAATTTGACTGCTGCTGCTTCACATTCAAGAATGAATACAGTAGCTATGTAAAGATTAATTTTAAGTAATTAGAATGTGTAGAGTATTTAAAAATTTGCACATAAACTTCTCTAAAAAAGATTTTGTCTTATGATAATGTATTTTTAAAAGGAATGATTGTTATCCCCATTTATTACTGCTGTTTTAAACTTTTCATGTCGATTAGTTTATTCATATCTACAAATAATTCTAAGGTTATAATTGGAATGCTTTTGGTTCTATAAAGGTGTTCTCCAAATATTCCAGTTAAAATATAAATGCCAAGAGATTTGAAGGTTAATCAGCAGAGAACATCTTAAGCAATAGATTAATATTTTAAAGTTATTTTGTATGTTTCTATTTTATGGTATAAAACAATTTTTATGTTATAAAGTGTCCCAGTTGAGGAATATGTATTTCATATTTATAACAATGATTTCTTGGGAAAATTACAGAGTAGACCATTATAAGATTAGCATAGCATCTTTTAAATAGACCTTCTTAGCATTGTGACTCCCACCAAAGTTGCTTGTAGATAGTTTCAAGACCTAATTTTCTACCTTTCTTTTCTTATTTGAGACAAGGTCTCACTCTGTCACCCAAGTTAGAGTGCAGTGACACGATCTTGGCTCACTGTAACCTCTGCCTCCCAGGTTCAAGCGATCCTTGCTCATGAGCCTCCTGAGTCACTGGGACCACAGACATACACCATGCCTGGCATCCCAAAGTGCTGGGATTACAGGCATGAGTGCACCTGGCCTAATTTTCTGAATCTTATTAGTGTTTTTCATATTAAAAGTTTTCCTCTTAGAATTTTGTGTATCTGTATTTTATAACAAATGTGTTAAGTAGCTGAATTTTAATTAAGGTAGAGTATGGTACAGGTCTGGCTGCTTTTCTATCTCTATACAAAGATTTGAACTTAGTACATACCTTCTTCAGTGGCAGTGTGCTGGTGTCTTGATTGTCACTGTTTAATATAGTAGTTTTCAAATGCTGCACTGGTACAGGCTGTCTGCATAAGAATCACCTCTGGAGCTTAATACAAACTCCAGGGCCCCTCAGAGTCTGGCTTACTAGGCCTGAGGCCCTGCCCAGGAATCTGTATTTCATAGGCTCCTCAAGTGACTCAGATATACAAATTAGGTTTAGAACTCATTGGTTGAATACATTTTTAATAAGAAACACAATGTGAATGAAAAAACTCCTTGACTTACAAATATTAAAATAGAGAAAAGAAAGATTCTGCCTGTCATATAAAAGTGATGAGATTTCAGGACTTGAGCTTTTTTGGTTTTTTTGTAGGCTGGGATCACTATGGAAGCAACTTAGCATTGGGGGCAGGTGAGATCCTTAAGATTTCTCTCTTTGTGCCCAAGCTTTTCTCTCCCAAGGGACAGTTTCTTGACCCTTTTATTATTTTTAGAAATGTCACTGCAAATATTCCTAAAATTTATATCATCATATGGTATTACTAGTATTACTCCCCTTTGCAGGCCAGTGTGATGTTAAATTCATTTCTGTAGATAGTCCACATCGTCCTAGGAAGGGATCCTGAGGTTGAATGTTGTAAAGAAGAGTAATTATAAGTTAAGTAAGTGTAGGCCTTTCGTCAAAGGGGGAAAAAAAGCCCAAAAAGGCTAGCAGAAGGAGATCTCAAATTTCAGAGCTTTGATGATATCATTTCACTAAAAGAAAATTTTTTCTTGATTTTCTACAGCTAATATAATGCCTTCATCATCTCATCTCTTTGGCTCAGTGCCATGGGGACCACCAGTGCCAGTTCCTGGGAAGCCCTTCCATCATACTTTATATTCTGGGACCATGCCTGTGGCTGGGGGAATGCCAGGGGGTGTGCCCAATCAGTTTATACCTCTGCAGGTGAGAAAAAAAAATAATATTTTAAAGAGAAGTACTTGTTTAATGCTGAAAGACTATTGATAAACATTTTTTTATTCAGTTCACTTAGTGCCAACTGGAAGTTCAGTACTAGTATGGGTAGTAAGAAGGCAATGGTTGACAAGTCTGACCTGTCCTTACTCTCTGATTTTGTGTTCTAATAAATGATCAATGTACCAAGGAATAATATGCCATTCTAATACACATTGATTAAAATCAGGAATATAAATAAAATCACAAGTATTTTTTAAATATTTAACCTATGGAGAATTATATTTTTTGGTTTTTATTATTTTTTATTTTATTAATTAATTTTTTGGAGACAGGATCTCACTCTATATCCCTGGCTGGAGTGTAGCCCATGCACAATCTGAGCTCCCTGCAGCCTCAGCCTCCTGGGCTCAAGTGATCCTCTGACCTTAGACTCCCAAGTACCTGACACTACAGGCATGTGCCACCGTGCCTTTCTAATTTTTGTAATTTTTTCGTAGAGATGGGGTTTTGCCATGTTGCCCAGGCAGGTCTTGAACTCCTGATCTCAAACAATCTACCTGCCTCAGCCTCCCAAAGTGCTAGGATTACAGCTGTGAGCACACGGTGCCCAGCCCAAGAATTTTAAATATTTTTATTGTAACTAAGTTCTTTGAATTACTGAAGTCTTCCTTGGAAATTATAAGTGTAAGTCACAGATCAGCTATGATTGACAAATACTAACAGCATGCATGGTTTATGGTAATTTCCAACACTAGCTATTTTTTTGCCTGCATTTTATTATTGATGCTTTTATTCCTAACAGGTTACTAAAAAAAGGGTTGCAAACAAAAAGAACTTTGAGAATAAGGAGGCCCAGTGTTCTCAAGCCACTCCTGTTCAGACTAGCCAGCCAGATTCTTCCAATACTGTCAAAGTAAGTCCACAGGAGAGCTCATCAGCTTCTTTAAAGTCCTCTCAGATTGCTCAACCTGCATCTTGTTTTCAAGTTGAAACTGCCTCTCAAGGCCGTAGTCTGTCTCACCATAAGCCAACACCAAGCTCTTCTTCAAGAAGAAAATCAAGAAAACTGGCTGTCAATTTTGGTGTTTCTAAACCTTCTGAATAAATTTGGCTTTTGGAATTAAGTTAATTTCTTCTCTTTCCATCTACCTTTTTAGAAATCCATATCTGTATCTTATAAAAATTAGAATGTACTATTTTAAAATAATATGTGTAAATTGAAATTTTTTCATTTTTAAGTTATTAGGCACTTTTCATGCTGTTTAAAAGACTGTATCAAATTGTGCACTTTAAGTATGTACAATTTGTTGTACGTCAATTATACCTCAATATATCTGTAAAAAAAAAAAAGACTAAATTAAACCTTGTATTAAAATAATAATATAGTATCAGTGGACTGAATATTAAAATGAACCACTCTAATCATTGGCCTCACCATTAAAGCATCCTGAACTATGAATTAGGCATCAGTTAGCAATAATAAGCATTTTTTACACTATCATTGAGGAATAATTACACGGAGCATGAAATTTGGGCCTCCAGTATAACTTACTGAATGTGGATTTTATTTCTCTTTTTAATGATGTAAGACAGTTGTCAGGAGAATGGCTCTTATTTATGTGTATTTTAACATACGCTTCGTTGTCTCTGATGGTCCTTTAGACCTGCTGTGAAAGGATCACATTCGTTGTGGTGCTGCCAGTATTGCTTTATTCTAAATTTTGTACCAAAGCAACTTTAGAATACTAATCAGAATATTTCATCTAACTGCTTAGAACTATAAATAGCATTCTGAATTTGAGTAAGTACAATTTTTTAGATTATTCAAGAACCAGCATTAGTAATTTCTAATACAATTGTTTCAAAATCTACAGGGTACAGTGATTACAAATTAATCTTCTAATAAAATATGAAATATTAGTCAAGTTAATTAAAATAAATTGTATTCTTTTGTATAGCTTTCTATTTGCTTACTTGACTTTTATGAGAGCTTCATAGTTGGTCAATATGTAGTGCTTCTTGGGGCCGAAGAAATTCTAATTGTTTTTTAAGTTCCAAGGTGTGCTACGACATAGGAGATACAGTCATCAGTTTGTGATATACATCATTTACTGCCTATTTCATTCTAATTCTGTATTTTCAGCTTTATGCTAAACTGTTCAATGATGCTAGGATTCTCTCTTTGCATGTCATATGTGAATGTGTGGTTCAAGCTGTAACCGTTGAAATTATTTTAGCATTTATGAAGATTTCTCAGCAGGGCCTATGTTTTGATATATATATATTATATATTTATTCTTTAGTTTTTGTGATATGCCTATATTTTTAAGGAAGTAAGTTATAGCATACTTTTTTAAAAGTAGGAACCACAGTCTTTATATGGAGCAGCTTGTTATTCTGTCTGATTTTCATTCAGCTCATTGAAAACTCTGCCATGACTCAAAGTAGTCTTATTTGTTTTTTAAAATGCTGGTATTAAACTAAATGGACTCCTTTCACTAACTGCTGATTTCAGAGTTTAAATGTTAGTAGGTTATTTGTGTATTAGCAGTGCCTTCAGTATAAGAGAGAAATATTCATTATCTGTCATTTATCAGTTATATGAGTTTCCATGATTTTATTTTCTGTTATTTACATAAAATTCAGACGTTCAGGTAAAATTAGTTCCCAACATTTTCTTGTTTATCTGTAGTAGGATCTTGTGTAATGAGGCTCAAGCAGTCCTCAGTGTTTATCATTATTGCCTCATTAACTCTCTGTTTTTAAAGGAAACACTTATTATGGTAATACAAAGAAAAGTTAAATTGTAATGTTATATTAACTTGTTCCTACTTTTAAAGTGTGTAATGTTTCACTTCAACTGTACAAACTCCATCAATGAGAAATTGATTCATTCATTATTCCTGTGTGACAGTTATATAAATAGCATGCAGCCCACATCTGTTTTACAACATAGAAGAAGCAGCACCTGCCATCTTCTGAAAACTCCAAAGGAAAATTTTAGTAAACATCGTGCCACTAAATCCATAAGGATACTTACCCCGTATTTGAGCACAGCAAGCTGACAATTCTATACAGGTAGGCAGTAAAAGAGTTTTATTTTCCGGCCAGGCACAGTGGCTCTTACCTGTAATCCCAGCACTTTGGGAGGTCAAGGCCGGCAGATCACTTGAGGTCAGGAGTTCCATCCCTACAACCCTGGCCAACATGGCAAAGGCCCATCTCTACTGAAAATACAAAGATTAGCCGGGTGTGGTAGCGGGCACCTGTAATCCCAGCTACTGGGGAGGCTGAGGCAGAAGAGTCACGTGAACCCAGGAGGCAGAGGTTGCGTTGAGCTGAGATTGCACCACTGTACTCAGAGCCTGGGCAGCAGAGTGAGACTCTGTCTTTAAAAAAATAAAATAAAAGTAGTTTTGTTTTTTACTTTTTTTTTTTTTTTAACATTATTATTCTAAAGATCAGAACTGAAAAGAGATTAAGATAAGAGAGAGCTCCATAGTGGCTGGATAGCGGTCAGGCATTTTCTGTTTTTTTTCCCCTTGTAGACCTATTCCAAATGTGGGCCTAAGGTCAATGGGAGATGTGCCCTCCATATGGAGGATGTAAGAGGCAGAGGCCATTTCTGCCCCATCATGATCTTGAGAAAGCTGGATCCGTTGATATGCCTGGACCCTAGAATATATCTGAAAAGCAGTTGGACTTCAAGAAACTTAAAGTTTTCTCCTTGAGATAGGGTGGACTAAGACCACTTCCAAAGTTTAAAAATATGCTCTTTCAGCTTAAATCTTCTGAGGACTTAGACTGTAGGGCACAGGACAAATTCCCCAAATTCCTTTGTTTCCACATAACTAGATTACTTAAATCTATTTAAGCCTTCCTCTCCTAACGGAAACATTATTTCTAAATATTTCTGATCAAGAAGTTTTTTCTTTTTTGAGCAACTTAAGTGAATTTTAAAGATTGCTCTTTCCAGTCCCGTTTCTTTTCACATTTTCCTACATTACCTAATAATTGCCTCAGTGTTAGAATTTGACTGAATGTATTAATTGATTTAAACATCATAGAGACTAAAGTCTTAAACATCTAAGACTCAGTTGCACAAAAAAATTAAAGTCACCTCGACTGAACCTTGTTTTCAATGTAAGATTCTTGCTTTTCAAAGGGGTAACTAATAAAGATTGAAGGGTTTTTTCCCCGATTGGTGGGAGGGATGAAGAACTGTTGATGCAAGTTTTCCACTGTTTCTTTTCTATGATCAGGTTTCTGCTTTCATTTGAGATTGGTACTTCCAAACTAACCTGGATTCTTGGTTTTAATGAGAGGAGGCAGAGAGAGGGAGGCAGATGGAAGAAGGAAAGCGGTTAAGTAAGACACACACAGTCGCTGCGTTTCTGGACCGTACTATATCTTTCTAGCTCAAGGATAATAGGTAAACTGTAGGGTCTTTTTTACTCACTTTTAATTTATTGGTTCTTTTTCTGTTAGTTGTAACTGTTCATAGTGGTTAATTTTTACCTTATATATGAGATAGAACTGTGCAGATCTCCACTGAAGTTAATTCTGTCACACTTCTTCCCATTATTTAGAACACTTTTTTTAAAGCAACTGTACAATTTCTCAGCTTTGTGGGCCTGCTTTCTGTTTCTTAGTACCATGTTGCTTCCAAATTGCGTTTTTACTGTAAAAGACAATTTATTGTAGAGAAGAGGCTGTGAAAGGCCTTCTCTATCTTTAGAAATCAATTACAGAAATTTACTTGTCACTTTTCTAGAGAAAAATCATAGGACTCAAACTGGTAGTGCTCATTATGTACATTTTGTAAGCTTTGCCAGTGAAACCATCGGTTTTGCAGGAGCTTCATTTTGTAGTCAAGATAAAGCTTAAAATTCCAGAAATTGATATCGTTTGGACTGACTTTTTTCATATTTCCATCAAGCTTCTCCATCACAGAAACAGTACCGAACCAGCATCAGGTCTCCAGAAATACGGCAGAGCAGACAGGCAGGCTGTTAAGTTTCACAAACATCATAGATCCTTTTCTTAGAGAAGAAAAACATGTATAAAATAGTTTTAATAGTCCAAAATGTCAACTGTCTGTAGCTGCTTTTGTGTGTGTGTCAGTGAAACAATAATAATGCCTTGCTCAATCAATGCATTCAGCCATCTCAAGTGCAATTTGTGAAGGAGACTATGGTTTCCAAAAGATACATTTTTTTTACAAAGTTAAACCTGTAAAAAGTTTGTTTTTGTTTTTTCTTCCAGCAGTACACCAATTGCCCTTGGTTATTTCAGTAGTTGGTATGCTGTTCAGTTATCCAGGCCAAGTAAGTTTTGTAGCTGTTTTAGTAATTTGAAGCCAAATTCTCATGCCATTTCTCATTAAATAATAAGAATGAGAATTTGGTCCACAGTTTGCTTAATGTTCTGTCATTCCTTTTCTTATAAGGGTTTGGTGGGGAATGGAGAGGTTGTTTTGTTTTTTGGATTTTTTTTTTTTAATTTCAGCCTCAAGTATCATATTTTCTTTTGCCTGTATCCAACTGGTTCTTTGAGTATTTTCATCTATTTTAATATGAGTAATAGATGGTGTGCTGTGTCATCAAAGTGTTCAACATTTTGTTCATTTAAACAAGTGTAATTCATACATATAGAGATGCATCTCTTAATTGATTTCTCACATAACTATTTTATAAGTAACTGGAATTTTTCATTAGATCTTATACAGAGAAGTATTTTATTAAAAATTCAAAAGGGAAGACTTTTATGTGCTCATTTTGTAATTTTTGTTTTTAAATATCTTTACATTGTCTGCCAATTAAAGTGTTGTAAACTTGCATTGGAATGGACTCCCAATGTATTTTTGTGGTGTTATTTAGTTATCTGTAGATTTCTAGCATGAAGTTAGCCTCACGATGCTGTGTGAAGGATTTTAAAATACGAGAGTCACTGAAAGAATTTAAACATCTGTTCATGTTAAATGCTCTATGGATTTTAATTAAAGACTTGAGAATGATTTTATAAGCTGTTCGTTCTTTTATTACTATGCTGATATCAAAAGTAGAAACATTAGTCTTTTTGCTTGTTTTTGAAATGGAGTCTTGCTCTGTTGCCCAAGCTAAAGATCTCGACTCCCTACAGACTCTGCCTCTCAGTTTCAAGCGATTCTCGTGCCTCAGCCTTCTGAGTATTTGGGACAACAGACACATGCCACCATGCCCAGCTAATGTTTTTCTATTCTTTTTTATTTCCATAGGTGATTGGGGAACAGGTGGTGTTTAATTACATGAGTAAGTCCTTTTGTGGTGATTTGTGATATTTTGGTTCACCCATCACCTTAGCAGTGTACACGACACACAATTTGTAGTCTCTTATCCCTTGCCCCCTTCCCACCCTTTCTCTTCAAGCCCCAAAGGCCACTGTGTCATTCTTATGCGTTTGCATCCTCATAGCTTAGCTCCCACTTATGAGAACATTCAATGTTTGGTTTTTGATTCCTGTATTATTTCACTTAGAATCATAGTCTCCATTCTCATCCAGGTTACTGCAAATGCCATTAATTCATTCCTTTTTATAGCTGAGTAGTATTCCACCATATATATGTATATATACACTCACACATACACCACAGTGTCTTTATTCACTTGATGATTGATGGGCATTTTAGTTCATTCCACATTTTTTTTTTTTTGAGATGGAGTTTTCACTCTTATCACCCAGGCTGGAGTGCAATGGCACAATCTCAGCTCACTGCAACCTCCACCTCCCAGGTTTAAGCAATTCTCCTGCCTCAGCCTCCTGAGTAGCTAGGGTTACAGGTACATGCCGCCATGCCCAGCCAATTTTTGTATTTTTAGTAGAGGTGGGGTTTCACCATGTTGGCCAGGCTGGTGTCGAACTCCTGACTTCAGGCGATCCACCCACCTTGGCCTCCCAAAGTGCTGGGATTACAGGCATGAACCACCATGCCCAGCCCAGTTCCATGTTTCTGCAGTTGTGAAATGTGCTGCTATAAACATGCATGTGCAAATATCTTTTTCATATAATGACTTCCTTTCTGCCAGGACCAGCTCGGCTGTGGAGACCCCAACCCAGGCAGCGCTGAAGGAATTAAGAAACAGACACAGAGACAGAGTGCAAAAGATGGGCTCAGGGGGCTCACAGCATTCCCAGCTGAGCGTCCAGAGCAGACTCTGACTCACGTATTTATTCTTTACATTCCAGTGATAAGTTTAACAAGCGGATGCTGGCCGGGCGCGGTGGCTCACGCCTGTAATCCCAGCACTTTGGGAGGCCGAGGCGGGTGGATCACGAGGTCAAGAGATCGAGACCATCCTGGTCAACATGGTGAAACCCTGTCTCTACTAAAAATACAAAACATTAGCTGGGTATGGTGGCGCATGCCTGTAATCCCAGCTACTCGGGAGGCTGAGGCAGGAGAATTGCCTGAACCCGGGAGATGGAGGTTGCGGTGAGCCGAGATCGCGCCATTGCACTCCAGCCTGTCTAACAAGCAAAACTCCGTCTCACCAAAAAAAAAAAAAAAAAAAAAAAAAACAAGCGGATGCTCTGGGTTCTTTCTTTCTTTTTTGAGACGGAGTTTTGCTCTTGTTACCCAGGCTGGAGTGCAATGGTGCAATCTCGGCTCACCACAACCTCTGCCTGCCGGGTTCAGGCAATTCTTCTGCCTCAGCCTTCTGAGTAGCTGGGATTACAGACACACGCCACCATGCCCAGCTAATGTTTTGTATTTTTAGTAGAGAACGGGGTTTCACCATGTTGACCAGGATGTTCTCGATCTCTTGACCTCGTGATCCACCCGCCTGAGGCTCCCAAAGTACTGGGATTACTGGCTTGAGCCACCGCGCACGGCCTCTGGATTCTTTCATTGATTAAAGGTAAACTAACCAGACAGCTAGTGTATGTTCACTGTAGGTTAAAGATAAGTGAGAAAGCATTCTTTATGAGGAAACAATTGAGGTAGAGTCACATATCCTGTGCTCAAATAACTAGTTTTTCTGGTGTGAGACATACTCATATTGTTCCCTGTTTTAGAATGCCCTAGGCAGTTTTCCACTTTGGAGGGCCAAGTAGGTGTTCCTTGCCACTGCTCTCAGTGAACAATATGATATATCACACACATCAGAATTTGCTTTCAGCATTTTCCCCTTTCTGCAAAGCTTAAGAAGCACGGCTTTATCTTGGTGAGCTATTTCTCAAAGGATTTGGGATCTGCACCTGCAGACTACACAAAGAGAAACATGACAAATTAATAACACAATTATAACAGCAACCGTAGATTCCTCCAAGTGTCTTTACCCAAATCACAGAGTTCAGGGCTGTTACTTCATCAGCACCTCCCTCAAATACTTCAGTTCCTGGAATTCAAGTCAAATGTGCTTGAGAGTCTTGAAAAACTTGTTCCTTTGTTTTGGTATATCAAGTGATAAATTTTCAGCATGCCCTTCCAAGTGACGCTTTATTTTTTCCCAGTCATGTTCAATTTCATTACAAGGATGAGGAGTGATACAATAATCAGAAGTATTCCAATCACACTGTAATTGAATTCTGTACTCTACCCTATCCCCTAACCAGAGAACAGCTTGTTTAAGATCATTAATCAGATTAGCCATATTTTGATCTATCTTTGTGGGAGAATTCCACAGCAAGGTAGAGTTTTTCTGCCAATTATTAACAAACTCAGCTGTTTGTACTGACAAGTGCAGAGCCATTCCTGCCACAGTGACTTTACCTGTGACAGCCATACCCGTAATGCTTAAAATTAAGCAATCATACCCATAATGCTTAAAATTAAGGTTACAAGGAATCTCCTGGTATGGTTTAGAACCTTTTGTAAAATTCCAGTGAGAATATGTACTGATGGGGATGCTTCCGAGAGATGAGATAGATTTACTGGTAGCCATATTTCCTCCTGGGCTTTCACCAGTAATATAGAGTTAAAAGAGTCAAACATAGAGGCATTAAAACAAGAAAACAATTTACCATTTTCACATGTTACAGTGGAGTTAAAATTGATCTGTGACCTTCCCACTACCAAAAGATAAGGAGGTTTAACATGCTCTGAATCCAAAGAGTTCTATTTTTTACTAATTCTAATGAATAATAATGATTGGAATGGGATCCTGTATAATTTCCTTCCCAGACCTTTATTGGTTTCAAGGCCATAAATAATTTCCAAAATTCTTTTTGTTCAGTTCCCAATTTCGGCCAAATCATTCTTGGTCATGGTCCTACCATGCCCCCATTTCTCCAAATAATAGGGACATTTGTTTCAGTGCATATTGACTCAAAACGGTTATATATATATATATATATATATACGCATATATATACACATATATATATATATACACATATATATTATTGTGTTTTAGGTTTTGGGGTACATGTGAAGAACATGCAGGATTGTTGCACAGGTACATACAAGGCAATGTGATTTGCTGCCTTCTTCCCCATCACCTATATCTGGCATTTCTCCCCATGTTATCCCTCCCCAACTCCCCACCCACTGCTGTCCCTCCCCTAGTTCCTCCCACAACAGACCTCAGTGTGTGATGCTCCCCTCCCTGTGTCCATATGTTCTCATTGTTCAACACCCACCTGTGAGTGAGAACATGCGGTGTTTGATTTTCTGTTCTTGTGTCAGTTTGCTGAGAATGATGGTTTCCAGGTTCATCCATGTCCCTACAAAGGACACGAACTCGTCTTTTTGATGGCTGCATAGTATTCCATGGTGTGTATGTGCCACATTTTCCCTTTCCAGTCTATCATTGATGGGCATTTGGGTTGGTTCCAAGTCTTTGCTATCGTAACCAGTGCTGTAATGAACATTCATGTGCATGTGTCCTTATAATAGAAAGATTTATAATCCTTTGGATATATACCCAGTAATGGGATTGCTGGGTCAAATTGAATTTCTATTTCTAGGTCCTTGAGGAATCACCACACTGTCTTCCACAGTGGTTGAACTAATTTACACTCCCACCAACAGTGTAAAAGTGTTCCTATTTCTCTATATCCTCTCCAGCATCTGCTGTCTCCAGATTTTTTAATGATCACCATTCTAACTGGCGTGAGATGGTATCTCAATGTAGTTTTGATTTGCATTTCTCTAATGACCAGTGATGATGAGCATTTTTTTCATATGTTTGTTGGCCTCATATATGTCTTCTTTTGAAACTTGTCTGTTCATATCCTTCACCCACTTTTGAATGGGTTTGTTTGTTTTTTTTCTTGTAAATCTGTTTTAGTTCTTTGTAGATTCTGGTTATAAGTCCTTTCTTTGTTAGATGGGTAGATTGCAAAAATTTTTTCCCATTCTGTTCGTTGCCGGTTTACTCTAATGACTGTTTCTTTTGCTGTGCAGAAGCTCTGGAGTTTAATTAGATCCCATTTGTCATTTTGGCTTTTGTTGCCAGTGCTTTTGGTGTTTTAGTCATGAAGTCCTTGTCTACACCTACGTCCTGAATGGTTGTGCCTAGGTTTTCTTCTAGGGCTTTTATGGTGTTAGGTCTTATGTTTAAGTCTTTAATCCATCTGGAGTTAATTTTAGTGTAAAGTGTCAGGAAGGGGTCCAGTTTCTGCTTTCTGCACATGGCTAGCCAGTTTTCCCAACACGATTTATTAAACAGGGAATCTCTTCCCCATTGCTTGTTTTTGTCAGGTTTGTCAAAGATCAGATGATTATAGATGTGTGGCATTGCCTCGAGGCCTCTGTTCTGTTCCATTGGTCTTAAGTAATTCCGTGTCACAATATGAGGGCTGACTGGTGCAATTAATGCTAAATATCCCCTCGGGAAGAATCAGTAGTTCCATGGGAATCATTGGATAGCACCTCAGCCTCTGCCAAAACACAATCTTCCCAAATTAATATTTTTGGGTTTTTTTTTTTTTTTTTTTTTTTTTTTGAGACGGAGTTTCGCTCTTGTTACCCAGGCTGGAGTGCAATGGCATGATCTCGGCTCACCGCAACTTCTGCCTCCTGGATTCAAGCAATTCTCCTG